GGGCAAGGAAGCTGATTGATGTGATCACCACAAGGGGTGCAACGCCAACCGACCTTGATCTTCTGAGAAGGGTTTGAGTGCGAGCATACCTGTCGGGACCCGAAAGACAGTGACCTATGCCTGAGCGAGGTGAAGCTAGAGGAAACTCTAGTAGAGGCCCTCAATGATACTGATGTGTAAATCATTTAGCTGACTTAGGGATAGGGGTGAAAGAGTAATTGAACCATCTAGAAGTTGGTTCTCTCTGAAGTTTTCCTCAGGATAACTGGAGCTCAAGCGTGAGTTCTATCGGGTAAAGCTAATGATTAGAGGCATCAGGGACGCAACACCCTCGAGCTATTCTCAAACTTTAAATAGGTAGGACAATCCGGTTGCTTCGTTGAGTTGTGCAGTGAAATTGAGAGCTCTAAGTAGGCCATTTTTGGTAAGCAGAACTGGCGATGCGGGATGAATCGAAAGTCGGATTATGGTTACCAACTACATGCTAACCTAGACCCCATAAAGGGTATTGGTCGATTGAGATAGCAGGACGGTGGTCATGGAAGTTGAAATTTGCTAAGGAGTGTGTAACAACTCACCTGTCGAATCAACTAGCCTCGAAACGCGTGACATATACCCGACCGTCAGGGCAAGCTCTAGGCCTTGATGAGTAGGAAGGCATGGTGGTAGCTACAAAACCTTGGGCGAGAGCCTAGGCATGAGTGGTCATCAGTGCGGACTTGGTGTAATAGTAAATATTCAAATGGGAACTTTGAAGGCCGAAGAGGGGAAGGGTTCCTGTGAACGACACTTGCATACGGGTTATCAATCCTAAGGGTTGGGGAAGCCCAACAGATAGCTCGTTTCCCGCGTGTACCAAAAGGAAATTTGGTTGAAATTCCTGAATCGAGATGCGACGATTGACAACAATGTTAGGGAGTCTGAAGACGTCGTCGGGGGCCTCGAGAAGAGTTATCTTTTTTGTTTAACAGCTGTCTACCCTGGAAATGGCTCAACTAGAGGTAGAGTCCAGCGGTCAAAAGAGTACCGCACGTTTCGTGGTGTCCATTACGACCCCGATGACCCTTGAAAATCCAGAGGACCTAGTACTGTCCACGCCCGATCATACTTATAACCGCATCAGGTCTCCAAGGCGAACAAACCTCTGGTTAATGAACAAACCTCTGGTTAATGGAACAATGTAGGCAAGGAAAGTCGACAAAATGGAGCCATAACTTTGGGAAAAGGATTGTGTCTGAGGGCTGGGTACGGGGTCCCAGTCCCGAATGCAATGTGATTTCTGCCTAGTGCTCTTAATGTCAAAGAGAAGAAATTCAACCAAGTGCGGGTAAATGGACGGAAGTAACTATGACTCTCTTAAGATATCCAAATGTCTCATCATCTAATTAGTGATGCGCATGAATGGATTATCAAGATTCCCACTGTCCATGTCTACTATTCCGCAAAACCATAGTCAAAAGAATGGGCTTGGTAGAATCAGCGATGAAAAAAGACCCTGTTGAGCTTGACTCTAGTCTGACTTTGTGAAATGACTTGAGAGATGTAGGATAAGTGGGATCCGAAAGGTGAAAGTGAAATACCACTACTTTTAACGTTATTTTATCGTGTATCGGAGGTAGGGCACTGCCTCTCTTTTTGGACCCAAGGCCCGCTTTGCGGGTCCATTCGAGAGGAAGACATTGTTAGGTGGGGAGTTTGGTTAGGGTAGCACATCTGTTAAAAGATAAACTAGGTGTCCTAAGATGAGCTCAACGAGAATAAAAATCTCGTGTAGAACAGAAGGGTAAAAGCTCATTTGATTGTAATTTCCAGGAAGAATAAAGCATGGCCTAACGATCCTTTAGACCTTCAAAATTTAAAGCTAGAGGTGTCAGAAAAATTACTCCAGGGATAACTGGCTTATGGCAACCAAGCGTTCATAGCGACGCTGCTTTTTGATCCTTCGATATCGGCTCTTCCTATCATTGTGAAGCAGAATTCACCAAGTGTTAGATTGTTCACCTAACAATAGGGAATGTGAGCTGGGTTCAGACCATCGTGAGATAGGTTCGTTTTACCATACTGATGATAGTGTCGTAATAATTCAACCTAGTACGAGAGGAACCATTGATTCGCATAATTGGTCATCGCGCTTGGTTGAAAAGCCAATGGCACAAAGCTACCATGCACTGGATTATGACTTAATGCCTCTAAGTCATAATTCAGGCTAGAAGCAATGCATGCACCCACCATCTGCTTGCTGACTCGTAATAGGGGCCTTACGGCCTCAGGGGTACATGTTGGCCAAGCCCTCGCAGCGGACGTACTGCATTAGTCGCCTTGAAGTACAATTTCCATCGACCGATGGGTAGAATCCTTTGTAGACGACTTAAATATGTGACAGGGTATTGTGAGCAGCAGAGTGGCCTTACTGTCATGATCCGCTGAGATTCGGCCCTTTGTCGCTCCGATTTGTTCTTCCCCTTCCATTCTTTCCAATCGAAATTTCCTTTATCTGCGAATGCTTTGAGGCCAGAATGCCCATGGTCCTTGATATTACTTCTAATGCCCTAGTGTGGAGGAACAAAAACCCATATACAATAACACGTTGTATCAAAGATGTTACAAGCCTCTGCGCTAAAGTTGATGCAGTGGACACAAAATATGTTATGTTAAGTTTGGGTGCTCGATCTACTACCTTGGTGTGACTACGATGTGCTTTTGTGTGCTTGTGATATGCCCCTGTGTTCGTGCATTGTGCCTGTGTTGCTCCCTTCATGTGCATGCGAAGTCAATGAGTTGCTGTGCTAAATTCGGGTGCATAAGATGTCCCTTAGCGTGTCTAGTGTGCCTGTGATGGGCATTGATATGAACTACGTGCTACCTACATATGCCAGTGTCTTTCACATGGATGACACTCACTGCTTCCTTTATGTGCCTGCATGCAGTACTGCCTTCGTGTGTATGAAAATATGCCTTCATATGCCTGCGTCCTTGACATGGCCTAACACCATGCTACCTACGTGTGCCTAAAAATCAGGCTTCGTCCTTGCCGCGATCAGGATGCGTTCGAGACATGGCATGCACACCATGTCCCAAAAACTACCCAAAAATGCTCAAGAACGTGCCTGCATCCCTGACATGGCCTACACATCGTGCTACCTTTGAGTGCCTGAAAATTAGGCTTTATCCCTACCACTGCCAGGAAGCGTCCGAGACATGGCCTGTATACCATGTCCAAAAAATTGTCCGGGAACATGCTTGCGTATCGAGGATCACAGCTTTACTTAGCCCCTTAACACTATCGTAGCTGCAATTCGTCCAACTTTGGTCACACATTGTAAATATTAGTTCAAGTTTGAGTTGTAATTTTCTTTTCATTATAATAGTTATTTCAGTTGTAAAATAGCTCTAATATTAGTAAATGTTTAGTATGATTCCTCGTCTTTTAAACATCTACTCCTGTCACTTAGGTTTTTGTTCCAAATGCTATTATAGGGAGTATTAGTCATTCAAAAATCTTTCAAGCTCACTGGTGTCCGCCCCTTGCACTATTAATTGTAATTTTCTGCTTTTGTCAATTTTGATGTTCATCAATGTTCAATTTACTTTCAATGTATTCAAATTCTCTATTGTAAGCTTTTTTCAAAATTGTAATCAAATTTTCTTTCACCCCAATGCGATCGAGAAAAGGCGGAAGGTAGTCTAGCAAAGCAGGCTACTACCACATGGTGTCCCTTTCTGTGCCAAGAAGAAAGGCACCCCGTGAAAGTTTGTATCAGAGCTACGGCTCATGACCCTCGATAAGAAAGCTATGGATCTAATTACATCCCACACCACTAAAGTGGGAAAACCTCAAAAGAAGAGTACTACTAAATAATGCGTGGATGCGCTTGATGAGACAACTACTAGGTTGTCTTATGTCATGGAGGGTCTCGAGGAAAAAGTCGAGATGGTAGAATCTGAAATTCATAGATTACACATCCAACTAGATGAAAACTAAAGGGCTTGTGCAACAATGACTGAAGCTCCTACAATCATTCCTTATCTGCAGGGTGAAATGGAAGCATTGAGAGCTCAATTACAAGTACTCCAATGTGTGGTGGGCAATGGGCAAGCTCCCATACTTGAGTATGCTCCTAGACTCAGAATTCCTAAATCTTGTACCCATGGAGGAGCACGTGGTGCAAAAGAAGTTGAAAACTTCTTGTTTGATAGGGAATAGTACTTTCTCTCAGCTTCGATCGAAGACGAAGCTAGAAAGGTAACCACAGCTACCAGGTATCTGGGTGAAGATGTAAAACTATGGTGGTGAACCAAATATGCTAACGTTCAGACCAATAAGGTCTGAATAGATTCTTGGGATCTCCTCAAGGAAGCGATCAGATTGCAGTTTTTCCCAGAAAAATGTCCAATATCAGGCTTGACGGGCACTTCGAGACTTGAAACATACAAGCTATATCAGGGAGTATGTGAAATCATTTTCAGGGCATATGCTGAATATTCGAGATATGTCGAAAAAGGATAAGCTCTTCACCTTTATGGAAGGGTTGACATGCACGAAACTTCAAATACAGAAGGTTACTGATTTGAGCACCACCATGGGAGCCGCCAAATGCTTGAGCCACTACCAAATGAAATCTAGAAAAGATCGAACTTTGGGAAGTAATCAAGAAATTGGAGGTGGTAATAGACCTTACTGATCGAGCTCGAACCCAAATGGGAGAGAGTGTTACTCTCAGAATAAGGGAGGAGCCTATCAAAGCACTTGTGGCTTTCAGGGAAATTATCATAATAGTTGTCAAGGAAATTTTAATGGTAGCAATAGTAACAACTAGAATAAAAGGAAAGCAACGGGGGGCCGAACTGATGCCACTCCCAAATTGATGTGCCTTTTATGCGAAGGACCTCATCGGTTGTCGGAGTGTCCTTAGAAATGGATGGTGAATGCATATTGTCAGCTAGCAAGTGATGGGTCAATTTCAAAGCAAGAGACCCCATAGGCTAGTTGTCATGGTGAGATGGACTCCGAACAGGATAAGGACGTAGTTAGGGTATTTTCACATCGGTTTAATATATTGTCGCATCGGGTTACTAAAAAGGATGATGTCCCCTTGAAAGAGGCAATGATGGAAGAAGCGAAGGCTCAAATTTGTAGGGCCAAAGGATTAGTGTACATTGATGTGAAGATCAACAGGAAGCCAATCAGGGCTATGATGGATACTGGTGCTATCCACTACTACCTTGCATGTATAGAAGTAGAGTGACTCGGACTTGTTCTAGAAAAGGGTAGTGGGAAAGTTAAAGCAATCAACTCCGTTGCTCAACCAATAGCTGGAGTGGTGAAATCAGTGTTGATCAAAGTAGGTCCTTTCGAGGGAAGGACAAATTTATCTGCAGTTCCGATGGATGATTTCTAGCTTATTCTAGGATTGGAATTTCTTGGGGATACCAAGACAACAGTGTTACCATGTTTCGATTTGTTGATGATGATGGGTAATAAGCTGTGTGTCATCCCTACACAAGTTGGGAGGATGGGTGAGAAGAGTATCTCAGCTATGAAATTTAGTAAGGGTTTCAAGAGAAATAAACATTTTTTGTGCACTCTTCGATTAGAGGAGATCGAAGAGGTGACTGGTCCTATTACAAAACCCATTAAAAGGCTTATTCAGGAATTTGAGGACATCATGCCAGATGAATTACCAAAGAAATTACCACCAAGAAGGACGATTGATCATGAAATTGAACTTATTCCAAGTGCCAAACCTCCTTCCAAGGCACCATACCGTATGTCTCAGCCTGAGCTTGAAGAGCTTAGGAAGCGACTGGGAGAAATATTGGAGATTGGAATCATTGTGCCTATGAAGTCACCATACGGAGCTCCTGTTTTGTTTTAGAAAAAGTCGATGGTTCTCTTAGAATGTGTTGTGATTATCAAGCCTTGAATAAGATCACTGTAAAGAATAGCTATCCTATCCCACTGGTTGTAGATTGCTTCGATCGACTGAGTCGGGCAAAGTATTACACAAAAATTGATCTTACGTTTGGATACTGGCAAGTTCAGATCAAGGAGAGAGATGAAGCAAAAACTACAGTGGTAACCAGCTCAACTCTTCTTCAAGTATATTGTCAAATACTGGGGACTGCCTAAGGACATCATCGGTGATTGAGATCCTCATTTCACTGCTATATTTTGGACATAGTTGTTCAAACTTCTTGGTTCAACTTTGAGCATGAGTTCTAGTTTTCGCCCACAATCTGACGGATAGACGGAGTGCTTCAATTCTACGCTAGAAGAATATCTTCAGCACTTTATCTCTACTTCGCAGAAAAATTGGGTAACACTTTTGGATGCGGCTCAGATTAGCTTCAATGCCCAAAAGAGCTCTTCCACCAATAAGAGTCATTTTGAGATTGTTACTGGCCAGCAACCGCTACTCCCTCATATAGTGGATATCGAATGAAGTACCAAGTCTCCTCAAGCGAAGAAATTTTCTCAAGAGTGGAAGTGAAATATTGAAATTGCTCGGAGTTATCTTGAGAAAGCTCAGAAATGGTATAAAAGTCTGTAGATCTAAAGCGCTGTTTCATTGAATTCAGTGTTGGAGATCTGGTAATGGTTAAGCTTCCTGATAGAAATGTTTACAAACCAACAAGAGAGAAGGACTCAAGATTGGAGTCAAAATACATTAGACCATTATCCATCGTGAAGAGGATTGGAAGAGTCACATACATAGTTGAACTCCCTTTATTGTGTAAAGTCCACAAGGTCCTTCATGTTAGTGTGCTGAAGACATAATTTGCAGATAAGGAGGACGCATCTTAAAATGAGCTAAACCGACCTGTGTTTGAACTGAAGATAGCTAGAAAGAAAGTTGCTGAAGCTATTCTTGACCATCGAATCACTCGAGCTTTTAGAAAAGATCATCAAGAGTACTTGGTCAAATGGATTGGATGTAGTAGCGAGATGAATACCTGGGAAATAGAAAAGGATCTTGAAGCTTTTAAAACATTAATCGAAGCATATCATGCATTAATGGCACCAAGGATGTCGCCAAAATAAATGGGGGAGAATGTCAAGGACCGCAGCTTTGCTTAGCTCCTTGACACTATCGCAGCCACAGATTGTCCAACTTCGGTGGCAAATTGTAAATATTAGTTCAAATTTGAGTTGTAATTTTCTTTTCATTGTAATAGTTATTTCAGTTGTAAAATAGCTCTTATATTAGTAAAGTTTAGCAGGATTTCTAGTCTTTTAAACGTCTACTCCTGTCACTTAGGTTTTTGTTCTGAATGCTATTATAGGGGGTATTAGTCATTCAAAAATCTTTGAAGCTCACTGGTGTCCGCCCTCTACACCGGCAATTGTATTTTTTTTGCTTTCGTCAATTGTAATGTTCAGTTTTCATCAATCACTGTTCAATTTACTTTCAATATTCAAATTCTCTGTTGTAAGCTATCTACAAAATTTTAATCAAATTTTCTTTTGTTCTGACGCGATCGAGAAAAGGCGAAAGGTAGTCTTGTGGAGTAGACTACTACCGCAAGATGTCTCTTTCTGTGCCAAGAAGAAAGACACCCCGTGAAATTGTGTCCCTCACATAGCATGCACACCATGTTGCCTCCATGTGCTTGAAAATCAGCCTACATCCCTACAGTAGCCAGGATGCATCCTGGACAGGGCGTGTAGATAGTGTCCCAGAAACTGCATAGAAATGCCTGAAAATTTGACTACGTCTCGATCGCGTCCTAGATATGGCCTACACACATTGTCCAAGAAACTGCCTAGAAATGCCAAAAAATCTGCCTGCATCCCTACCGTGGATGGGATACATCCTAGACATGGCCTGCTCACCGTGTCCCAGAAATTGCTCAAAAATCCTTGAAAATCTGCCTGTTTCCTTGCCATAGCCAGGACGGGTCCCGAACATGGCCTACATACTATCTCCCAAAAACTGCATAGAAATGCCTGAAAATCAGGCTGTATACCTACTGGTACTTGGACATGGCTTGCACACCGTGTCCCAGAAACAGCCTAGAAATGCCTAAAAATTAGGCTACGTCTCTATCACGGCTAGAACACGTCCTAGACATGGCTTGCACACCGTGCCCAGAAACTACCCAGAAATGCCTAAAAATTAGGGTGCGCCCCTGTCGTAGCCATGATGCATCCCGGACATGGCCTGCACACCATGTACTAGAAACTGTCGAGAAATGCCTGAAAATCAGGCTGCGTCCTGGACATGTCATACACGTCCTGTCCTAGAAACTGCCTAGAATTGTCTAAAAATCAGGTTGCTCCCCTACTACAGCCAGGAAGCATCTTGGACATGGCCTGCACACCGTGTCCCAGAAATGCCTGGGAACATGCATGCATCCTTGACATAGCCTGTACACCGTGCTGCCTTCATGTGCCTAAAATCAGCCTGGGTCCTCTCTTCGACTAGGATTCGTCCTGGACATGGCTTGCATACCATGTGTCATAATCTACCTAGAAATACCTAGAAATCTTCCCACATCCTGCACATGGCCTACACATCATGTCCCAAAAGTGCCTGAAAATGTGCCTACGGCCCTAACATGGCCTTCACATGGTGCTGCTTTCGTGTGCCTAAAAATTTGCCAACATCCCTGTCACGGCCCGTACATGGCCTGCACACCTTATCCCAGAAACTGCCTAGAAATGATCAAAAATCAGGCTGCGTCCCTACCGTGGCCAGGATGCGTCCCGGACATGGCCTGCACACCATGCCCACAAACTGCCTAAAAATGCCTAAAAATCAGCCTGTGTCCCATAAATTGCCTAGAAATACCTAAAAATGAGGCTGCATCTTTGCCGCGTCCTAGACATGGCCTGTACCCTTATCCTAGAAACTGCCTAAAAATGCCTGAAAACTAGGCTGCTTCCCCATTGCCAGGACGCGTCTTGGATATGGCCTACACACCACGTCCTAGAAACTGCATAGAAATGCCTTAGAACATGCCTGCGTCCCTAACATACATCCCTGACATGGCCTACACACCGTGCTGCCTTCATCTGCCTGAAAATCAGCTTAGGCCCTCACCGCGGCCAGGACGCATCCTGGACATAGCCTGCACACCGTGTGCCGTAAACTGCCTATAAATCTCCCTACATCTTGGACGTGGCCTGCACATCATGTCCCAAAAATGCCTGAAAACATGCCTGCATCCTTGACATGGCCTACATACAGTGCTGCCTTTGTGTGCCTAAAAATCTACTTGCGTCCCCGTCGCGGCTCGGACGCGTCCTGGACATGGCCCATACACCTTGTCCCAGAAATTGCCTAAAAATGTCTTAAAACATGCTTGTATCCCTGACATGGCCTACACATCATGTGCCTAAGATTGCCTGAAAATGTGCTTGCGTCCTTGCCCACTGCCAGGACAAGACGCTGCCTTCGTGTCACATGATGAGAAAAAGATAGCCTCGCGATGTTTTATCGATGGATGGTTGTCAGGAACATAAAATGATCGCTCGATAGAAGTTAATCGTTCAAATTTAATACATTTCGAGTTTTTTCCACCATATTTCTCCTTCGTCCCGCCCTCGTCTCTTATTTCCGTGCATGCATCAAAATACGTGTGAATCAAAATTGTTTTTGACAAAAGAGTAATTGCTCCTCAAATATTTGATGGTAATGAGCCTCCCGAGATTTTTGGGGATTTTCCCTATCCGTTTTCATTTTTTCAACTTTTCCCTATTTTTAATATTTTTTAAATAAAAAATAAAAATATTTTTTGGTCGAAAATATTTTTTTTTGAGACCCCATTCAATCATACTTTCATTGACAAAAGAATTTTCCAAAAAATCATCAATGAAAATCCTGCAGAAAATAGAAAAGAAATAGTATGATTCCTCAGCCCTTTGATATCTACTCCTATCACTTAAGTTTTTTCTCAGAATTCTATTATAGGTGCATGAAAGGGAACAAACAGCATCTGCAAGCTACTGTAATGAGTAATTACCTATGGGTGGCTTATGTCCCTGCAAAGTTTGGATCCCTAGGGACCAACACATGTCGGCCAAGGCAAGTTTCCCGTCCAACGATAGTGCTGCTCCGACGATACTCCAACCGGTGACCCTCCAGCAGCACCTGGATGGAAGGCATTCATAGGCACAAAATCAAATTGCGTGTTAAAAGATGGCCTCGAATTTTCTCACAATTGCCTATTTCGGTCCAGAAATGGAGTAAAGACCCGATGAGAGTGGGAGGAACAATACGGACGGAGGGCATGTGTGGGGATGAGAAATCGAGCGACGTGTCAATCGATTAGCTTGGGCATAAGATGCATGTTGTAATGTAGTGCTCGTAACTTCCCAATGTCCGATTGGTTGGTGAGAAATTGTCCCGAATCGAGACCATCGTGAGGCACAGCGATGTAGGATGGAGGGCATACATGGGGATAAAACTGCGTGGCATGTTGATTGATTGGCCTAGGCATAAAACGTATACTGTAACATAGTTCTTGCAACTTTCCAATGTTCGATTGGATGGCACAAAATTGTTTTAAAATGAGATTGTCGAAAGGGATGACGATATTGGATGGAGAGCATACGTGGGGATGAAATTACGCGATGTATCAGTCGATTGGCCTAGGCATAAGATGCACGTTGCAATGTAGTTCTTGCGAATCCACTCCTTCCGGTTGAGTTGCCTAAAAATTGTTTGAAGTTTGTACCTTACGGCCTACATTTCCTTAGGACCATCTTGTGCTTCGTTCGTACGACAGGAGGACCAAAAATGTGGGCACCGAAGTAAGACGCTGCCGTGGATGAGTGCGTACGATGCCCCTTAGGCACGGTGTGCTTAGCAACATGTTTGGTGTTCACAATTGTGACTGTCATTGCACTACGAACTCACGTTTCGACCCCTTGCCAACTCGGGCAATCTGCCCATGTGCGACGGTGAATCTCGATCTTCCTCAAAAATTAGGTCGACGCTAGATACTTACGACCTGCATTGGCTCGACATCGGATGCTGTTCGTTTGCAAGATGAGAGGACCAGGATGTGGATACCAAAAGAAACATTATCAAGCGTACGACACCCATCCGGCGTGGCTCACAGGGCATTGTAGTAAGTGCTTATGACTATGACTATCATCGCACTGCGAACTCTGGTGACACGATTCGGCCCCTTGCCAATGCAGGCTTCTCATTCGTGTGCCTAAAAGTGCCGAATCCATCTCGGTCTTCCCCGATCTGTCCTTCGCTTGCCTCCCATGGAGAGATAAGGAAAACATTGACAT